CGAATCTATTAAAATACTATAAACCATTTGAAAACTTGGGCAACAAGTAATTATAGCAAAGCTTTTTGAGGATATAAATACCCAGAGAACCACACTGCATTTTCATCAGAGTTTTCCCTTAAAATGGAGGGAAGAAAGGTCGTTGGATGGGCTGCAAGAGACGTTTCAGGACATCTTTCCCCATATTCATTCACTCTCAGGTCTTTTATTCTCGATCGATGGAGATCGTACTCTTAAAATTTTCAAATTTTCATATAATACGATGTCTTTTGTATTTTGTATTCATAATCTGTTTTCATGTACATATGATTTTATAAGTTCCTCCTCGATGCTGATCGATGTTTGAATCCCATTTTGTATAGGAAAACAGGTCCAGAAGATGTGGCGTTGAAGGTATTGTATTGTGGGGTGGATCACACTGACCTACATCAGATGAGGAGCGAGATTATGGCCATTAATTATCCTCTGGTTCCAGGGTATGTGTCTCTCCAAACATATAGATAATTCTAAGGTATAAATGAACAGGGTGTTCGATCAATGAACTGTTTATGAATTGTTTGTTTATTAAACTAAATAAACGAGCATGATTTTAATTTTGGATAGAGTACATAAGTGGTCCCTCTACTATTAAAAGTTACAAAATGGTCATCTGATTATAGGGAGTTACTTTGTTGAGTCCATTGACTATTAAAAATTACAAAATAATAACTATTAATTATGTTCCAAAGTCGTATCTTTTCATTAAAAATTTGATGACAGCGTGAGCTGTATGTTAATCTATTGACTGAGATATGATAAAATTTGATCTCATAATATCGACCAGCTCATGTGATCGTTAATTTTTTAACAGAAAAGGACGAATTTGGAACATAATGAATAGTCGAGTGAACATTTTGTAATTTTTTTATAGTCGAGGGCTTAACAAAACAACTCTCTATAGTCGGAGAGTGTGTTCGACTAGTTTATGTTCATGAGCAAGCTTGTTTATATGATCTTTAGATCGTTTACCTGGTTCTCCTTTTCCTTTTATTTTTTATTTTTAAATGTTGGTAAAGACAATGACTAAATTGAACACAAAGTGAATTTTAAAGTTCAAACATTGAAGCCTAAAGAGATTAAAGATTGGTAACATAATTTTATCATTTTTTTGACTTACACGGTAAAAACAGAATGTTTAACTAACATGTTCGTGAATGCTAATCATACATATTGACGAAAGTTAAACGAATATGTTCACAAATATATAAATAAATATGTTCGGGTACGTTAAAATAATATAAACATCTTTAAAAATAAACACGAAAACGACCCTATTCATTCAAACCTGATTAATTTACACCCATGTATAACCCTATGATGATGTTCACAATTTGATGACAAACTTGTTTTTCTCTATCATAGGCATGAAATAGTGGGCGAGGTGGTGGAGGTGGGCTCACAAGTAAACAAGTTCAAGGTCGGAGATAAAGTGGGAGTTGGGTGCATAATCAGCTCTTGTGGCGAATGTTGGCTTTGCAACTCCGACAGTGAACAGTATTGCAGCCAAAGGATCCTGACCACCGGCGGCGTCCACAAAGATGGAACTCCCACTCACGGTGGCTTTTCTTCTGCCATGGTTGTTCATCACAAGTAAGACCCTGTTTTCTTCAAAATTCTCTTGAAAAATCCAATCACTTGTTAGAGCCGTAAACGAGTCGAGTTGTGCTCGAGTATTGTTAAGTCCGAACTAAACTTGAAAAGTTTAAACTTGAGTTTTGTCTCGACTGTAAGTTCACGAATTTAAATTTGTGAAGCTGGACTCGAACTTGAAATAAAAAATTAAAGTTCGACTCAACTCAAAAGCTCTTGAGTTTATATATATATATATATTTAAATTCACGAGTTACTTGATACCCAAGTCGAAAGCTCACAAACTTAAAATTGATAAATAAAAAAAATTGAAGTTAGACTCAAGCTAGAAAAAACTTGAATTTGAAACATTTTCATATTTAACTCGATTGAAGTTCGAACTCGATTCAATCTTAAACTCAAACTCAAACCTTAAATATATGAAAACCTTATATTATATATAATTTTAAAAAAAAACAACATAAATGTTAATATTACTAATAATTTAGTTTAAAATTTGAGAATTTAATATATTATTTTTTGAGTTATTCTTGAGCTTTTTGAGGTGGGTATCAATCTCATTTCGACTTAATAAGAACTTGAATTTTATATAGTTTGAATATTGATCAAACTTTAACTAAATCAAACTCGAATAACCCATGATTTTTACTGTCTTATTTACGACGCTAGTGGTAACTGACATTAGAGTTGATGCAGGTTTGTGGTAAAGATACCCGAGAAACTAGCACCAGAGCAGGCAGCACCGCTCTTATGTGCTGGGGTGACGGCTTACAGTCCATTGAAGGAGTTCAACAACTCCGATAAGGCGATCAACGCCGGAATATTGGGGCTCGGCGGAGTTGGACATTTGGCGGTGCTGATAGCCAAGGCTATGGGGCATCATGTGACGGTGATAAGTTCTTCGGAAAAGAAGAGAGGGGAGGCTTTAGAGCATCTGCATGCAGATTCTTTCCTGGTGAGCTCTAATGCGGCGGATATGGAGAGAGCTGCGGCGAGTCTCGACTACATTCTCGACACCGTTCCGGCCGTCCACGCTTTGGACCCTTACGTTTCGCTTCTCAAAGTTGGTGGGAAGTTGATTTTTGTCGGAGTTGTCACTAAGCCCCTCCATTTCAACACCGAAGACCTGCTTCTAGGTAATTGTTGTACCCTAGCTAAAGATCTTTCCCATAAATTATTGGGTAACTTTTATGGTTCAATCGTGTGATGCAACGCAGGGAAGAAGACATTGACGGGAAGTTTCATAGGAAGCATTGCAGAAACACAGGAAACACTGGATTTCTGGGCAGAAAAGAATTTGAGTTCGATGATAGAGGTAGTGAAGATGAATTTATATAAACACAGCCATTGAGAGATTGGAGAAGAATGATGTGAGGTACAGGTTTGTACTTGATGTTGCCGGCAGCAGCCTTGAATGAATTCATTCGTTCTAGCATTGAACTTTGATTTATGTTTCAACTATACTACTGAACCGTTGAATCATTGACGGCACGATGAATTGACTGACAGATGTCAACGTATACACCTCAGCAAAACGACGTCGTTTTGATCCGGTTGTTAACGATTTAACGATCCAGTGATATAATCGAAATGAAAATCAAAGTTAAATGCTATAATTAACAAAATTAAAAGTTCAATGATATAAATATTTGGTGTAATTTACCCAATCCAAAATGTTTGGATTAAAGAGATTCATGTTATCCTTATCATCGTAGATTTGAAAAATTATAAATTATCATATATTTTAGATATTTTTAACGTATTTCTATTAATAAAATCTTATGTCAATCCATGTTCATCATCGATGATATTACGTGTAAATGCATGTTAGACTCCATAACCTATACAAATCATCTTTTGGATGTATTAAATTCAACCATGAGAAAACCATACTTAACGTTTAGTACCTAAATTATCGGGTTTTGATTCGTTTTAATATCTAAACTTTTAGTTTTTCAAAACCGTACCTAACATTTAGTTTTTGTTCTATTTTAGTACCTTATCATTAAAAACCTAAAGGCATTGCATTTTTTATAGGTAAATTACATCATCCATCACTCAACTATCTTCTCACTTGTAGTTTGGTACTAAAGTTTAAAAAATTTCAATTTAACTACTCAAATTTCAAATTGCTCTTATTTTAATCACTCTAATTTATTTTATTAATATTTTTTGTGGCATGACATATTTATTATTATTTTATTAAAATATAATAATTTTTTTGAAAGTTTGTGTGATTCAATTAGGAGTAATTTGAAAGTTAAGTAATTAAATGAAAAAGATTTAAATTTTAAAGACTAAATTAGGAGTGAGAAGATAGTTGAGTGATCAATGATGCAATTTATCCATGAAAAAGGTGTCACGTGCAAATCACCCGATAAGTTTTTAACGGCAAGTGATAAAGCGAGAAAAAAAATAAACGTTGGGTACGGTTTTGAAAAAAGTTTAGGTACTAAAACGATCAAAACTGATAGTTTATGTGCTAAACATTAAGTTTCCCAAAAAAAACTATCTATTCAAGCAACCATAAAGTTGGAAAACTGAGTCTTGATGACCTTAAAATGAAGAACTTTGATTGGTGAATGGCTTTACAAGATCCGGAGAGGGTGCCTTTGAATCTGTTGGTCAGGTCAAGAGGGTACCCAAATAGTAACTTTTGATCAGCTGAAGAGGCCATTTGTTGGCTTGGCTGCATGTGAAGAGGAGGATTAATGCAGTCCACAAAGGTAACCCCATGAATGCTGAGTTTTTGTCTTTGTGTTCACTACTTCCCTACCTCAACCACTCGTGTATATTGGGGGAATAAAACCCGACTCGAAAAGAACTTTCTGACTCGGTTCAATATTAAAATATTCGACTTGATTTGATTCGATTCAATCAAAAAAATTAAATTAAAGTTGAACTATAGTTGAAGCGATAAAACAACAATGAGATAGTTGACTAACGGTTAACACATGTTACTGACATGAAATTTTTACATGTGATCAACTGATAACGTAACATATATCATATCATCTAAAGTGATGACGTAAAATGTCATATCATCCAAAATGATGATGTGACATGAATCATGCCACCAAAAATGATAATATGACAAAATTTTATATAAGCTATATGTGTTGAAAGTTAATCTATTAATGTTATGTCAATATTTGATCATATGTAAAAATTCTACGTCGGTAATATATGAAAATTCAATAAGAACTGTTTTGACAAAAATGTTTAGAGATAAAATGATTCAAAAAAAAACAAAGCAACTATTTATAAAAATATTAGGGTAATCATCTCATTATGTATTAATAAAAAAAGTATCACAAATTATTTAAAATAAGGTAAATTATGTAGTTAGTACTTAAACTATCAGTTTTATTATGTTTGCCAAGGGAGACCCTGGTATTGCTGCCTTGTATGACAAGCTACTGATATCAGAAGAACACTTGCCCTTTGGAGAGAAATTGAGAGCCAACAATGAAGAAACCAAGCGTCTTGTTCTCCAGGTAATACAAATGGGAAGACAAATGCAGTGATTGTAGTATAAAGCTGTATTTATATGAAGCCTAGCAACAATTTTCACCTTCTTTTGTAGGTTGCTGGACATCGAGATCTTCTCGAAGGCGACCCGTACCTGAAGCAGAGGCTCCGACTTCGTGATGCTTACATCACGACCCTTAATGTATGCCAAGCATACACTTTGAAAAGGATCCGAGACCCGGATTATCATGTGAAGGTAGGGCCGAACTTGTCCAAGGAATACATGGAATCGAGGAAGTCGGCAGCCGAGCTCGCGAAACTCAACCCGACAAGCGAGTATGCTCCTGGTCTGGAAGACACCCTTATATTGACCATGAAGGGTATTGCCGGTGGCATGCAAAACACTGGCTAGAGCTAAACATAACCCCGAACCTGCGGATTGTTGGTTTTCTCTATCTTCCTATTGTATGTAATGGTTGTTGCTTTTCTTAGGTTGTATTTGCTTCAAGTAAACCCCCCTCCTCATCATCATCATCATCATCATCATTATTATTATTATTAGGATAAACGACATCAGATATCAATGAATGATATCTGAATTTTAAGTGACGTATCATTTATATCACTTAACTTCTAATTTCTCTAGTTATAACATTGGACTTTTAACATCAATCATGTCACTTGCCCGTTAAAATTCAAATTGTGTGATGATATGGATAAAATAAAATTACTTTAGTAAGGGTATTGATATCTAAAAGTCTTAATACAAAAGTAAGTGCCTAAACTTTGCATCAAAAATCGTTTAAGTATCTAAAAAAATTTCGCTAAAAATAGGTGTCTAACGTTTTCTCATTTATACTTTTAGGTGTCTTCAGCTTAATTTTTAATTTTTTAATAATAAAAATATTACTTTTAATTAAAAAATAAAAAAATAAAAAAAAGTTTAATTCGTTTAAAAAAAACCCAATTTTTTAAAAAATATAAAAAGCCCCCTAAAACCAGTGAACCATCTCCGGCCACCATCGTCGTCATCGAGTGGTTGGGCTTTGATCGAAATTGCACGGTGGTTCGAATGGTGGCAGCGATTCAGCTTATAGACGTTGAAATCGGTAGGAATCGACGAAGAACAGTGACGGTGATTTAAAAATCGACGAATCTTTGAACGCTTTTCTACAACAAATAATGGCATGTTACGACGAAAGGTCAATAAAAATTTAATCAGTGGTCAATGTCGGTGCCGATGATAGTGGCGTGATGGTCACCGCCGGATGGCCCACATAGAAGGGGGAGTTTGGGGGCTGCTAGGTAGGTGGGGTTTTTTTTTTACACAATTATTTTTTTATTTTTAAATATATTCTCGAAATTAATAAATCTTGACATGTGTCACTTAACGATTACTTAACAAATTTTTATAACAGCAGACACCTAAAAGTATAACGTTAGAAATATTAAACACCTAATAAAATTTGGGCACTTAATTTTATATTAAGCATATTTAAAATGACATTAAACTTTAAGAATGTATTGATTTTACTATTAAAGTAAATATATAATTTGGTTTTTGATATCACACTTTTCTGGGGCCAACAGCCAATTATCACCCTTTATCCCATTATCGATCGTATTTCGCGACAAGATCAATACTAAAACGTTTGCATTTCACTGTTTTTCTCCTTCAAAATTGTTTTTCACAAGACACTAAAAACATTGAAATTAAAGCATAGGATCAAGTGCCCCCAATATATATATATATATATATATATATATATATGTATGTGCTTTAGTTGTACATATAAATTATAGAATATCGTTACTCGATAAAGGAATCTGATGCAGCTCTAAATTTAACAAAGCTTTCTAAAAGAAAACAGTCAAAAAGTTGAAAAGGAAAAGGTTGAGCCAAATCAGATGAATGATGCAGAGATTTTTTTAGAATGAAACGTTAATAATTTAGGCTTCTTTCCAGCCATCCAGCTGGAGAGACAAAATAATTATATTCCCACACTTTATCCAACCTTTTCTTCTCACAGGGAGACATGGGCACACCAGTGGCAGTGAGCTCATTTCTCGGTTCGCAAAACGGACGTAGAAGATATCGTAGTTTCGCCGGAAAATAAACAGGCAAGGATATAGAAAAATATTCAGTTCATAAATGAAAAACGAAGAAGCTATTTTCTCTAGAGTCTCGAGGCTTTTTTCCCGGCCTCGATGGAGTTCTATGAAACAATTATGTAGTTTGATTTATGTCACATGTGAAACTGTTGATCCTGGTATGAATCAAGATATGACAATGAATGAATACTTTGGACAATTATCATCAAATGCTGTTTGTGACAAAGATTGAGCAAATTCCATACTATGTTTTACCTCTCTCTTTTTTCTACAGGATATAGTTCCGCACCGAGTCCTCCAGGATCTGATGGGTAGGGCTGATCATCTCCTTCACTTTGTCTCCGTTCTTATAAATCTTAAAAGTCGGGACCGTTCTTATACCCTCCGCTTTTGCCACCGCTAAGCTTTCCTCTGCATCAACCTTCAATCACGAAACGATGATCATATGTTAATGCTTAAACACCGTTGCTTTCACATCATTTCGTGCTTGTTACATCGGTATGGGTGCTGTGGATGCGAACAAAATGAGTTCATCAAAGTTAAGAACACCCGAACGCCTACCTTGTAAAAATGAATAGATGGATACCGAACGCAAAGCAAATTAACGAATGGGGATAGTTCTTCACATTGTTCATTGGATGCCACCTTAAAGTGGACCACTGATATGCCTGGAATTTTGAACTTGTAAATCAGGCAATAAAATCAAGACCCAAGTTGAGAGAAAAAGAGATACATAAGCATCAATCTTACCGGTAGACGATATGGCGGTTTTAAATCTCTCTATGCTAGAAATCTCCTCTACTTCACCGCTGATTTTCGTTTTATGAATATCCGCCCCACGGGATTTCCTCAACGCAACTTGTACATTATGCAGAGACTCAGCAACTTCAATGTCTCCGGGAAGTTCCTCTCTCAAGAGCTCATAATCTCTCACAGAATCCGCCCATCTTCCAAGCTAAAAACCCGAAACAACATATCCTCATATATCAGTTCCTAATCAACAAAAAATGATATTTGAAAACACATGCACAAAATGAAACCATACAGAATGTGATTTCACCTTTCCATTAGAGGCAGCCCTTCGAAGTAAGGCCTTTTTGTAATTCGGTTGAATCTTTAGAGCCTGGTTGCAGTCCTCTACGGATTTCTCCCAAAGTCCAAGTTTAGACCAGCAAACTGCTCGATTGCAGTATAGAACCGAGTTAGAGCTATCACATCTGAGTCCTTCCCCGTAAGCAGAGCAAGCTTCAGCATATCTTCCGGCGTTGAATAATTCATTGCCGTGAGTCCGTGCTCTCGCTACCATTTTCACATTATTTAAAACCGCTGCAATTTCAGCATTGCTGTAATCGATACGTCTAGCCTTCTCCGCAGCTGAAACTGCATTCTCGAATCTGCAAGAAATCTATAATCCATTTTCACTCAATCCTAACAACAATACCAAACAGTAAATGATAATTTCATCTCGCAAAGGTCACCTTCCCAATGCCATCTCAACTTGGGCCTGAACAAAGAGGGTATAAGCTTCGGCCACCATATCAAAGTACTTAATCTGCGAGGAGGGTGTATATTGCTCCGATTTTCGGATGTTCGATAGGTAGTAATCTGACTCCTCGATTTGGTGGAGCTTCAAAAGGGCTTCTGCTTTACAAGCAATGAGCTGCAAATTCATTTCAACATTCTCAGATATTCTGCAGTTGAATTCTATATAACAGCTCGGTAGTACAAACATATAGTCGACTAGTCGAGGGAAGGAGCTGTACCTGGGGAGACGAGTCTGCGCCAACAGCTATTGCTGCATCTATTTCTCTTGCCACAGTCTTCCAATCACCAATCTTCCGCGCATCCGCACATCGATTAATATGATTTTCCAACAGCTGCAACTTCTGCAACTCGGCTGGATCCGAATGTTGCCCCGGGAAACAAAGGTGGTGTCTGGCATTATCCGGTAAACCTAACCTGGAGTAAGAAATTTGAGGATTGTTAATACTCTGTCCAAAACCCTTTCTTACCGAACAATCAATTGCCAGTTTGAACTTAAATCCAAGGGCATATCCATTTTTATGTGAAAGGAACCATAAACAATCAACTATGTATATGAAAGGCACACTTTGACAAGCTAGCAACAAAGAGACAAAGCAATTTCAAAGAAAAATGGATATGGAAAATCACACAACACATGAGAGCATGAAGAAGAAGAACCAATGAAACAAATAGAGAGAGAGAGAGAGAGAGAGAGAGAGAAGCACACAGAAACCGAAGAGATCCTATCCTCAGCAACACTGATGAGACTAAAGCACCCACCAATCACGTTAATCAAGAAGATGAACAAAAAAAACAATGGTTAATTAAATAATAAGAAAATTTACTCACTCACCTAAGATAAAGAGTAGACAACCTCTGATGAGCTCTGCCATAACCAGGGTCTAATCTAACAGCTTCCTCACACTCCCTGACGGCCTCTCCCAATCTTCCATCCGCCGCTAACGCCGCCGCCCTGTTACTTCGGTAGGCGGCGTTTTCCGGTGAAATGGATATAGCCTTATCATAAAACGTCAATGCCTCGGAAAAGTTCCCTCTTTTATACATCTCATTACCAGCTCTCTTCATTTCCTCGGGATCAGCGGTAGCCGCCCCAGATTTAGCACCACCGCCGCCGCGAATTATGCTGCCGTGTCCATAGTTTCCTTTACCATCACCAAGCGTATCGGTCTTGTTGGAGGTACGTAACCCCATGGTTTTAACGATTTTCCCAGACGGACAAATGTTACCACTGGGTAAAATCGTGCTTGGATTGGAAGAAGCAGACGAAAGCGAAGACGAAGACGAAGTTCCTCCAGTAAAGCTTGAACCAGAGTAGATTAAAGGGAGTCCAGCAGAAACGGATCTCCTATGACCCGGCCTAATAATCCGGTTCACCGGAGCAGATCCGGGTAAACCCGGACTTTTCTCCAACAGCTCCCCGGAGAAATGAGTAGCGGTGCTGTTACTGTTCTTACTCGAAACAGAACCAGCCGACGAGTTGGAGCTGTTACCACCTGACGACGTAGTCGTGGCGGCGCCTCCGCCATTGTTGTGACGGAGCAACGGAGAAACGGGCGAACCCATCAGATCGAGTTCTTTGAAATCGGGCTTGTTCATTTCCCTGTCGAAACGCGGCCGTTCTGAATGGGAAGAAGACATTTGTAGTGAAATGATAACGGTTAAGGAAATCTGGGTTTTCGATTTATATAGCGAAGAGAGGGAGTAATAAAGGGAGTATATATATGGGGTTATCTTCTTCTCCTCCTCCCTCTCTTTGATTGTGTGGTGGTTTAATTCAACATTAATGGGGGTACGGCG